GTCTTGGATTCCAAATCTCAACAGAGCCCAGTGATCGGAGGCTCAGAGCCACCTCTCCTTCTCACCCCCGTCACTGCCGGCCCCTCTCCTGTCCCCACCTCCCAGGGACAGATGGGTGGGCGGTAGGAGGCAGCTGGGCCGCGATGCCTGCAGGGCCCCAGGAGAGGAAATTATCTGAGAGTTCATAACCCCTCTCTGCCTTCCAGATCTCGAGTTAAAAGCCCCAAATGTCACAGCCTCAAGGGATAAGGGTTGGGAGGTGCCAGGAGAGGGGCAGGACAAGTCGCTTTTCTGTTAGCAGCTGCCCACATAGGAAGGGCGGAGACCTGGGGTGCTGAGAACTCCCGCCCTGGGACCAGGAAGCCATTAGCGCTGAGGCCTGAAAACCAGTGGCCTTCAGGCCCAGTCTGACCCACTGACCTATTTACTTGGCCTGAAAAGTGTTTGAGAGAAAAAGTGGAGCCAACGGTTAAAAATGAAGAGATTTTACAATACGATCCAGATTTCTGGCTCCCCTTGAACAGTTAGAAAATCTGACACACCGACTGCCTAGTCCCATATGACAACATTCAGCAGTAGCTGACTAGCAGCTGTCCCCATTATTACATTATTTCACTAATAGGTAAATACATCCGCGTGATTCCAAAACAAATTATAAATAGGAATATAATGAAATCTCCCTCCCAGCCTTGTTTCCCTCCTGCCCAGTGCACCCTTCGGTAATCTCATTTTTTACATGTACTTCCAAAGTTTCCATGTGTGTGTGCATACAAATGCAAATAGCGATTAGGCCTCCTTTTTACTCTGCTTTGTCTCCTATTCTCTCCCTTGCTTTTCTCCATGGAGGCCTCTCTGTATTAGGAGACAGCGAGCCTCCTTTACTGCCACATGCTGTTCCGTTGTCAGGAAGTCTGTGATTCATCAGCCAGTACCCCACTGATGGGTATTTGGGTCATTCCCAATATTTGCTGTTAGAGACAATGCTGTGTCAATGACCTCGTGCATACTTTGCACAGGAACAGAAGGAATATCATTAGAAGCTGGTCCAAGCTGAGGGTAAGTAGGCATGGACTGAGCTCTCAGTTAATTGAGAAAATGTGACAAGGGCTGTTCCCTAGAGGTATTCCCAGTGAAGCCCAGAGACCATGCCCCTGGCGACTTAAGGAAAGGCTCCCAGATCTGCTTCTGCCACTTGCTAGATATGGGGCCTCCCTCTGGGCTTCAGTGTCCTCACCTATGAAAGAAGAGAGCAGCTTGGGGAACTGGGTGAGATCTCCAAGGGTCAGTTCAGATCAGCGGTGATCCACCGTCTCCCTCCACACCTGCCAGACCCAGCCTCTGCTTAGCCTTGAAGGAGCCTGACTCAGCCCCATTGCAGAGCCTTTGCCCAAGGGGTTCTGCCCCCCCCTACTCTCCCCACTCACTGAAACACCCTTCCTGTGCTCCCTTATTGGTCCTAATCTGAATCCCAGGTCTCTGCTCTCAGGCCACTCAGAACACAGCAATACAGACTGCTCAGGGCAGAGTCCCCTCTACAGTACCACTGATGGGGGGGGGGGTCATTCCTATACTTTAGATGCCCCATCAAATCCTTCCCTGGGTCTCCTCCCCCAGTTGTCTGAACTAAAGTTCTTGAATGCTAGCTCTGCTATTTCCTAACAAATGGCCTTGGGCAAGTGACACCTCCCTGAATCCCAGTTGCCTCACCCCCAAAAATGTGAGGAAAACATGTGGTCACATCAGTAAAGTGCTTAATGCGGCTGCTGACCCACAGAAAGGATCGTTAATTCTGTAAGTTACTGCCCTTGTCTGAAGCAGTTACCTTGCTTATAAAATGGGGAGAATAAGGGAACCTATTTTATCAGGTTGATCATTCATTCATTATTCATTTATTCAATCAATGATTTTTATAGAATACCTGTTGAGTGCCACACATCGCATTGGGTGCTCAGCAATTTCTTGGTGAAGAAAATAAATTAATCCATCCTGGTTGGTGTGGCTCAGTGGATTGAGCACTGGCCTGTGAACTGAAAATTCACAGGTTCAATTCCCAGTCAGGACACACACTTGGGTTGTGGGCCTGGTTCCCGGTTGGGGGTGTGCAAGAAGCAACCAGTAGAGGTCTCTCTCACACACTGGTGTTTCTCTCCTTCTCTTTTTCCTTCCCTTCCCCCCTCTCTAAAAATAAGTAAATAAAATCTTTTAAAAAAGGAAATAAATTAATCCCTCCACTGTAGTAGCCATTGGAGAACAGCAGATATGGCTCTATAGTACCCCATGGCTGTGGACCTCAACAAGGGCTACAAGGTGAACAAGAGTGTGTGCGAGCCGAGACATAGCCGTCGCTGCCAAGGGCACCTCACCAAGCACCCCCAGTTTGTGCAGAGCATGATCTGAGAGGTGTGCAGCTTCACCTTGTATGAGTGGCATGCCAGGGCACTGCTCAAGATCCCCAAGGACAAGCAGGCCCTCAAGTTCATCAAGAAAAGGGTGAGGACACACATCTGCACCAAGAAGAAGAAAGAGGAGCTGAGTTATGTTATGCTGGTCGAAGAGGGAAAAAAAAATAAAAAAAAGAAAAGAAAAAAAAAGAAAAAAAATAGAAAAAAAAAAAAGAAGGACTGAGCCTCCCCCCCTCTGTAAATAATAAACCCTTTTCGGAGGTTCTGACTGGTGTGGCTCAGTTGGTTGGATGTTGTCCCACGAAGCAAAAGGCCACTGGTTCAATTCCCAGTCAGGGCACATGCCTGGGTTGCTGGCCAAGTCTCCAGTGGGCGGGTGCATAAGAGACAACCACATACTGATGTTTCTCTCCTTCTCTTTCTCCCTCCTTTCCCCTCTCTAAAAATAAAGAAGTAAAATCTTTTTTAAAAAGAAAGAAAAGACAAAAAGCTCATAATGGGGTTGAGGTGTCAGGGAGAATTTTCTGAGGGATACAGAGTAGGGTACAGCTGGCATTAAAGTATGTCTTGGGCTGCTTGTTTGAACAGGATAATCCTGGGGTGTAGAGAGATACTGGAGGTAGAGGGGCTCCCTCTTTGGGGTGGGGGTGGGGAAGAGGTAAGAACCTAATTCTGTCGGGCCCCATCTAGAACTTGCGAGAGGGCAGAGAGCCAGACACATGCAGAACTGGCCCAGGGCCAAGAGGGAGTCTGGGGTCAGAACTTCCCTCTGCCCAGGGCTCCCTGGCTAGGGTTCTAGGAGAGAAAGAAAAAGAAAGGGAGATTGCTCCTGCCTAAATCACATTAGGAATCAGGCTCCCCTTTAGCCCAACGCACAAAAACTTCCACTAGTCTACACAAGCCTTTGGATAGGGATGGTCAAATCTGAAGCCTGAAAAACTCCCTTAATCCCTAATTTTCCCTCCTCCATTTTCAGCCTTGGGCGACGGCTGGTACACCAATCTCCAGACCATTGCTGGAACCCAAACAGTCCCTGTTCACGAACAGGATGCTGGGCTGCACAATTGCAGAGACCGGCTTCTTCCTGACCCAGGGCAGCTGCCTCCCCTCATCTTCCCTTTTCTGCCACTCTGAGGCAGGGTGGTCCTCACACCGCTCCTCCTCCCCTCTACTTTCCTCTCCATCTTACCTAGGTCTCCTCCTCCCCTTGGGAGGTAGCAAAACCTATTCTGGAGTCAGATCATGGGTTTGAATTTAGCTCCAGCACTTACTGTGTGACTCCAAACAAATGAATTAACTTCTCTGTGATTCAGTTTCTTCATCTGTAAAATGGGAGGAAAAAGGCAAATTATCTCGGAAACGGTGAGGATAAAATAAGTTAGTAACTGTACTGTGCTTAGAATAATCCAAAAAGAGACTGCTATATGAGTGTTTGTATAACGAATGCCCTGATACATCCACTCTGAGCGAAGGGGGCGGGGAGCTGGGGTTATCCAGGATGTATGAGAGACACTCCCCCCTCTCCTGGATTACTGTTACATGCTTCATCTGGCCTCTCTGTCCCCAGGCTACTTCGCTGTGAGCACTTCTCCCCTCCGGCTGCAGGGTCTTCTTTCAAAATCCTGACTTGATCACATTACCCTCTGCTCAAATTCTGCAGCGGTTCCCCATATGCTTCCTGGATAAAGCATATCTTCTGGCCCTTTAGCACCTCATCCCTCAGAACTCTCCAGCTCCATCTTTCTTAGCTTTCCACTTCCTTGGATCTGTGATCCAGACTTCCTGGAAAATATGCCTTCCAGTCTCAGGCCTCCTCAGGCCTTCGCACTCGCTCTTTCCTCCACCATTTCCTCCCATCAGCACCCAGGACAGCCCCATGTTGCCCCCTTCCCTGCTCCTAGCCACCAGGGCTGTGACCAGATGAAGGCCGTCGCTGAGCGGGGGAGAGGGGGGGAGTGGGCAAGAGACAGCAAACTCTCAGAGCTGCAGTTTTCTCAGCTTCAAAACAGTAAGAAACAGACAGTAAAAAAAAGGGACCTCTCAAGATCAAAGAAGGGGATGAAACAATGTGCAAACACTCTGGAAACCAAGAAGTGGCCTGTTAGCACGGAGTGATTGCTAGAGTTACTGGGGTGTCCGCTAAGCAGGCCCTTTCAAGTTCCTGGTCCCTCGCCCTCCTCAGACCCAGGTCACTGGAGGTAAACAGAGGAGACAAATGCAAGAGGATGGAGAGGGGCGCGGAGAAGAAAAGAGAAGGGAAGGAAGTGGAGTGGGGTGGGGGGGATGAGAGGCAGAGAGCATGTGGCTGGGGCCCCACACCTCCGAGGAAGGAAAGAGAGGGTGACCTGGGATGCTCTCCCCTCCCTTCTGCATCTCCCTTCCCAGGGGGCGCTCCCCGATCCGGCCACAGCCCAGACGGGGTGGGGGAGGGGCGAGGGCGGCGCCCGGGGTAATGAATAATTGAAGTAGAGGGGAGGAGGAAGAAGAGGAGAAGGAGGAAGAGGAGGAGGCGGGAGCCTCCCGCATAGGGTCCTCCCCACTCCGCACCCCACTCCCTCCGCCTCCCGGAAGTCGCTCCCCGCCTCCTGCTCCGCCAACATGGCCGCGAAGTCTGATGGAGCGGCGGTCGCGGCCGGCCCGGGGCCGGAGGGGGCGGCCGGGGGAGCCCGGGGCAGTGCGGCTGGGCCCGTGGAGGCGGCGACAGCGGCCGGGGGCCCCGGACTGACCGGGGCGGGAGGCTCCGGGCCGCGCTACGAGATGCGGGACTGCTGCTGGGTACTGTGCGCACTGCTCGTGTTCTTCTCCGACGGCGCCACGGACCTGTGGCTGGCGGCCTCCTACTACCTGCAGGGTCAGCGGACCTACTTCGGCCTCACGTTGCTGTTCGTGCTCCTGCCCTCGCTTGTAGTGCAGCTGCTCAGCTTCCGCTGGTTCGTCTACGACTACACGGAGCCCGCGGGTGCCCCGGGACCCGCCGTCAGCACCAAGGACAGTGGCATCGGCGGGCCCTCCGTCAGCACCAAGGACAGCGCCGCCGCCTTCCGGACCAAAGAAGGCAGCCCCGAGCTGGGTCCCCGGCCCGCGCCCTCCTCGGCCAGCGCCTACCGCCGCCGCTGCTGCCGCCTCTGCGTCTGGCTGCTGCAGACTCTCGTCCACCTCCTGCAGCTCGGCCAGGTCTGGAGGTAGGAAAAGCGCAGGCGGAGGGAGCCGATTCCAAGGAGTGGGGGTGGAAAAGTGAGGAGGGCCTCCCACCCCAGACCTCCTCTGACCTCTCTAGGCAACCCTCTTGTCCTGACCCCCGCCCCGCCCCACCCCAATGCAGTTCTGATTTCTTCTCTGCCAGCCTCCTTCCTGACCTCTGCCCTCAAACTCCGACCAACCCTGGTGCCATCCTCTCTAATCTGACCTTTGCGGGGAGGAGGGGATGAAGCAAGGAGAGACACAGAAATCCTCAGGAGGGCGTGAACGAGAAGGGCCCTGGGCTGCTGAGGATGCGTGTGAAGCTGGGAACAGAGCCCCAGGGCTCCCTCCAGCCCTGACCTACTCCCTTCTGCCTGAATGCTGAGCCTGGGTTTAGGAAAGAGTTCAGAAGTCCTTCCCAGCTCTCAGAGACCTCAGTTCAGAATTGCAATCCATGCCTAACCTCCGAGGAGAAGCATGGGATTTGAGGCGGCTAAACAAATATCCCGCCCAAACTTTTTAGACTTTTGGGAAAGGGTGTGTTGGACCCAGCTGAGAGACTGTCTGGTTCCTGTTTCTTAGGACTCCGTCGGTGTCCACCTCCCATCCCCACCTCAGCAAGGCCAAGGGGACTGGGGATCTTGCGTCTGGGATTAGATGGCCACTGGCTGCCCTTTAATCCCAGGACAGTAAGACAAAACTGAGGCTTTGTACAAGCAGCCTACTTCCTCTGCCAAGTCTGAGGGCGCCTGCTGAGCTGAGCTGAGGAAATTGGAGACGGGGGATTCTGAACCCAGGGTTCCCCTTGAATCAGGATGGCTCTAGTAGCTTAGGTTCTACTGTGCACTGACAAGATGAACTTGCCTACAATATGATCTTAGGCAAAACCCCTCTTCCCTCCAAGATTAGGTGTCCTCACCTGTGAAATGGGGAAGACCCCCTCCTCCTCATCTTAGTGTCTACCATCATATTTTTCTTACCTGGTGGGTGTTCAGGTGAGAGAAGGTCTATGTGAAGGCCATGCAAACTGCAATATGTTTAAGGAATGTAATAGATTACTCTGATAATCATAGATGTGGGGAAAGCAGGGGAAAAGCCAAAGTCACAGTAGAGCTGTAAAGGGTGATTATTGCTGTTCTTATATTTATTCCGCTATTTGTTAATTCATTCTTCCCCACTCAGAAGATTTAGATCTGGGCTGAGGGTTGGAAACAAGACACCCAGGGTTTATCCCAGCTGCTCACTTGCTGTGTCACCCTTGTCGTGTTGCCAAAGCTCTCCCTGCCTTGGTTTCCCCATGTCTGCCTTGCCTAGATCAATGTGTATATTCATTCCATTTAGCTGTCCTGGGGGGGGAAGGGAGTGAAGTTGTATCCACACAAAGTAGTGTTGTTATTATTATTAGCTTGACACATAAAAATATTCATGTCTACATCCAGGAACTAATCTACATTTACCATTCTGTGCCTGAGTGGACAGATGGTGAAAGATATTTTTAGATTCTGAAATGGTAACTTCCTATTCTTGGTAGCCAAATCTTCATCCCCTTTCCCTTCAGCCTAAAATGGGCCAGCTGCCCTTTGACTCACTACCTCAAGCCCCTCTCTTCCCCCTTTTCAGAATCTACTTGCAAGAAACTGATACTTCTTTTTTTAAAAAATATATAAACTGAATTTCCCTCAAACAGGGCAAAAAATGACCACAGAGTGGGGGCAGGACCTCAGAGAGTGACTGGAAGTAGTTAAGGGTCCACTCAGCTACATGGTTTCTCAGGTAAAAGGGCTAACTGTTCCTACTCTCCCTTATTTCTAAAGTAAGGTGACTGAAATGGTAAACTCATGGCCCTTGGAATTGTTTTGTTTGGTTTGCATAGTATTTCAAATATCCAGAACTCCTAGTCTCTTGAAAAATAAAAATTTAAAAATTAAAAAAAAAAGAAATCAAGTAGTATCTGGCTTGTAACAATTTAGACGGGGTATATATACTCCAATGTGTCCAGCTCCATTCACATATGGATTGTTTCACTTAAACTTCAGGGGCATAGGAGCCCTCATTTATAGTTCTATAACAATTATTTTATTCAGAAAGGGCATATCCTTGCCCAAGGTCACACAGCTAGGGAGGAGGAGAGCTGGGACTCAAGACTCTGCCTTCAGAGCTCAAGTTCAATTCATCCTCCCTGTAGTTCTGCCACTAATGTGTCTCCCAAGCTCGAAGAATTATGAGTCTGAGATCCCAAGATTCCAGGATGATAGAAGTCAGGGCTTCTGCTGCACTGAGATAAGAATGTGAAAGGAGGGGAGGGAGTTGGCCCATGTGGGCAAGGATGGGGAGACGGTGTATATTGTGGGGGAAGTGCTGGATTGGGGGCGGTGGATCAAGAGCTTTATGTCTCCTTCCAGGCTTGTAACTAGCTTACTATGTGGCCTTGGATGTTGCTTTTCCTACATCTGAGCCTCAGTTTCCCTGTATGTCAAATGAAAATATTAGGTTTGATCATCTTAAGAACCTTCCCTTTTCTGTAATTCTGACTACAGATCTAGTTATCAGAGCTAAAAACTCTGGGCACCTGTCCCAAAAGCTTTGGCTTTTAAAATGGCTGAGGGTCTGGGTAGATGGAGGAAAACCCAGACAAAGTAGAGAGAAGCCGGCAGGGCTGGCATTCCTAGAAATTTAGCAATGTTGGCACAACAGGCTTGCTTACCACATGAAATGTTCCCACAGTGAACAGGCTCACTGTTTGGCAGGACTTGGTGCAGATGTTCAGAGTGGTGAAACCCGGGGTGATGAGGAAGGAGACGTGTGTCTGAGTTCTCCAGGGTCAAAGCCAGGAGACTGGCCAGTCACTCACCTCCTGATCTCACGCCCCCGGTTCTGAATAAAATAATTTTAATCATAAAGACCTCTTTCAACTCCTCACGCCTGTACAATGCTGGATTGAAAGCTTAAATACTTTGAGAAGCCGGGTAACACAGACCTGTGATAGCACGTGGATGTCAGTCATGAGGACACTGTGGGGGAAGTAGCGTCCTGGCTCCAGCTGATGGTGCCACGAGAAAGTGTGAACCTGATATTGTCAAGTCTTGATTTCTCCAGAGAAATGGATTGGGATTTTTTTTTTTGGTGAATTCTTCCCATTTTCAATTACTAATTAAGATTTTAAAAAATAGTGTCAACCAAAGGAAACACGTTTGTGGGACTCTCCTCTTTCTGACCTCTGGTCTAACTCTTCACAATTGATAAGGTCTTTTCTTATTCTATTCCCAAACAACCCTGCAAAATGGGTGTTGGTGCTATTATTTCAAACACAGAATGGGGCTCTGAGGAGAGGATGAGGGGAAGGAGTTCATGGACACCGTGCACCCGCTGTGTCCCAGCTGGCCCCATGCAAAGCTGAAAGCACTGGGTCTCTTTTCACCCTGAAACTCCCTCTGTTGGCAACTGATCCACCCATTTACCAGACAAAAAAGTGAGGCTCAGAGAAGTCACGTAACTTGTCCAAGATCACCCACCAACAAAGTGGGGGAGAGGTGAGGTTCCAACCCATTTTGCCCAACTTCCAAACTCCATCCCTAGCACCACCACGCCAGCGGATTTGGGGGTTCCTAGAAAGAACAATGGCCGTGGACCGAGGCAGATTGAACAGCCTAGAGAAGAGCACGCAGATCCTTTGGTGATACCTGAAGCTGGCTGTGGGAGGGACACCACCTTGTGTTTCATATTCTCACCCCAGCCCTCTGAGCTGTTAAGCCAATTACAGTCCTAACCTTGTCTCTTCTGACCCTGTGGGCAGCAGAGCAGTAAGCCCTGAATCCTGCTTTTCCTAATCTTGAATTCACTGGGCTCTGGCTTTGCCCAGATAAGCATGGTTTGCTAAGCCAATTACTAGAAGATGATCTGGCGTGGGATTCCTCCCAGGCTGTCAGGAGGATCCGGGGACCCCAGAATAGGGAAGGAGGGAAGCCAACCGGGCTTCGAAGGACCTCCCTTTAATCCCCCTCTCTGTCTGAGCACTGTTCCCTCTGCCTCTTCAGGAACCTTGCCTTGCACTCAAGAGAAGTTCTGAAATGAATTAGAATGAATTAGTGATCTGCTTGGTGTGAAAGTCAGGCTCTGTGTCTCCCCTGTGGGAAGCCATATTCTCAGAATAATGGTTAAGAACGTGGACTCTGAATTCAAATATCCTTGGTTCAAATCCCGATCCTCTCACTTCCTGTATGTGACCTTGACAAGCCATTTAATCTCTGTCCCTGAGCTTCATCCCTTGTAAACCAGAGATCATAATGGTCCACCCCTTGGGCTGTTTGGAAGTTTAACGAGATAATGTGTGCCAAGGGTTTAGCAAAGGGCTGGCCCCATTGTTAAGTATTCCGAACCGTTGGCAGTGATTAGTGCCATCAGCCTGGGCTTTGTTCTCTGCAGAAGCAGGTTTGTTCATTGAGCAGGTGGCCAGGGAGGGGGCAGGAGAGCAAGAGGGCCTTCAAGGCCCCTGAAGCCATAAGGACTCGGCAGCTGTTCATTTAATCTGCAATCATTCATTCAGCAAATATTTATGGAGCACCTGCTGTATACCAAGCACTGTGTTGAATGCTGGGAATAGAGTAGCGAACAAGACAAAGTTCCTGCTCTCCTGGAGCTCAACAGTCTAGTGGGGGGAACAATAAACAAGCAGAATATAATATGTATTGTGTCGTAGGCAGGTGAAACAAAACAACTTCCCTCCCACCTCCTAAGTTCCTCTAGCTGAGCGAGTAATCAAATTTGATCAATTAACAAGAGGAAATGTCCAAAGTTTATTACAGATGTGCATGTGGGAATGCCGTAAGACAGGAGGTGGGAAAACCGCTGGGCAGTTGAGGTTTCGAAGCCACTGTGGACAAAGGAGAAGGGAGGCAGAGGTCTGGGGTTTCAAAGGAAAAGCAGGTGATTCACAGGGAGGCAGCACATAGTCCACAAATTCTTACTGGGCTACCCACAAACAATGGGACACAGAGGGGAAGCT